GTGGTGAAAATACACTGAGCTACTATCAGGTGAAGATACTTCACAAATATTTGGAAACAAGGTTCCGTATGGGCCGACAGCACAACTACTCCCTCTTGTGGTGAAAATGCAAACACAAATCGCAGGAGGGGAGCTGGTTTTCCAGTAGATTCCTCCGAGACTCCACTGGCAAGTCCAGGCAAACGTCATCGTGGATTTTAAGTTTTGTTTTTCACAGAAAGTGGTCAAATTTGACCCCATTGTGAAGGCGGCGATGCTAGGAAATAGCCAGTGTTAGCAGATGGCAAGGCCCTATCGTAACAACGTATTTCATGTCAGATTACTTTCTCCTTGCCAAATTCAGTGAGTTTTTATTCCACACTATACCCAAAAAAGAGGTTGCCAAGAAGTCAGTCTGTTACTATGGCAATAAAGACCTTTACCCAAGCCTATCAAAATTCCCGATTTCACAAGAAATCTCTATGATAGAGGGACACTTCCAAAGAAGAAACACCACTAGAATTTAGCCCAAAACTTACTACCACCACGTGACAGAACAGGATACACAGTGAAAATCCCTTCCAAAATATAAGTCTGTTTACCCATAGAATTACACCCTTAAAGACTGAGTAGCGCAATAGTGCGCCTTTAAAATAAAATCTGCAAACAATTCCTATCAGATGAGGACAGTTCAGTGACATTTTCTGCTGTTCAGTCACCAGGTTTTTAGCAGATCATCTGAGCAGAACCTCCCCTTCTAGGGTTGAAAACAGGAACAGTTGACACCATAGACAGAGGACAGTTTAATATCCTTTTGTGTCACGGTGCCTTCTACTGCTCCGCACTAGGGGACCGTGTAGGCATGTCTTACCCTCTTGTGTAGCCAGTTCAAACCCTGATGTGTTTGTCCGTACGAGCTCTTCATACTTTTGGGCCGATGCATCAAACAGCTGGAACAGTAGCGTGCAAGTCTTCTCGTATTCGCAGCGACCGATCGTCGAAAGCTGCCAGGGCAGACCAGAATTTCAAAAGCATTTCAAAATGAACAAACACAGATCAGAGTTTTCTGGCATCCAAAACTGGATCACAGCTCAAGTGAGTGAGCATCAAAGTAAATACTCTGTACAGTGTTGATATGTGTCAAGCCGAAGACAACGAAGGAAATTCAGGTTAAGCAAATTTGAGACATGACAGCAATAGTTCACAGCAATTCAAAAAAGTTGAACACACTGCAAATTGCAGCAAAATCAGGCCCAGATATGCTTCTTTCCATGCAAGTCAAATGCGCCTTCCACAGAGTGTGATACGGCCTTCACACCAATCTCTGAATTCGATTCAACGTATACTGATACAAGATGGGCCAAGAATGGTCTAGGACGACATACCCAACGGTCCCACCCTTACCCTTCACCTAACCATCCCCACCACTATACTCACCTGGTCCAGCCAATGCTGCACCATCCCTTTTATTGTCCAGGGGAGGTTCCATTCCACCCCCAAGATGGCACCCATCTACCTCAGCCAGGAGGCGATATAGGTCCCTACCTCATCCCCTACCCCATCAAACCAATCCTCCCAACTCACCTGGTCCAACTGCTGCTGCACCATCCCTTTATGCTCCAGCGGATCCTCCACCCCATCTCTCAGGATGGCACCCATGTACCTCAGCCAGGAGGCGATATAGGTCCCCACCTCATCCCCTACCCCATCAAACCAATCCTCCCAACTCACCCGGTCCAACTGCTGCTGCACCATCCCTTTATCCTCCAGCGGATCCTCCACCCCGTCTCTCAGGATGGCACCCATGTACCTCAGCCAGGAGGCGCTATAGGTCCCTACCTCATCCCCTACCCCATCAAACCAACCCTCCCAACTCACCCGGTCCAACTGCTGCTGCACCATCCCTTTATCCTCCAGCGGATCCTCCACCCCATCTCTCAGGATGGCACCCATGTACCTCAGCCCGGAGACGATATAGGTCCCCACCTCATACCCAACCCCATCAAACCAATCCTCCCAACTCACCTGGTCCAACTGCTGCTGCACCATCCCTTTATCCTCCAGTGGATCCTCCACCCCGTCTCTCAGGATGGCGCCCACAGACTCCAGCCGGGAGGTGATGTACGCCTTAGTCACTTCAGGGGTGTAGACTTCCAGGAGGTGGGGCTCTGTGGCCTTGACATAAGGCACCGAGGCCACCATGCGCTGCCAGAGCGTCAGGAGGTAGTGGATACTGTTGGGGGCAAACTGCCAAACCTGGGGGGGCGAGGAGACGGAGAAAATCAAGTCAAATACCTGATCAGACGATTGTTATTCTCCGATATCCTGGGCACAAAAGAACAGAGAATACTTCGACTCCGCCCCTGATTGAGATGCCAGTCCATCGCAGTTAACAGACTATATTCTTTAATCGTCCATATTAAAGTTTAAAGTGAGGACACCTCTTCATGTCAAGAACCTGAGACTCGAAATGGAAGAAGTAAAGCAAATTTTTATGATAAATTTGAGATTAGACATGCCATAGTGTTTTAAGCCAGATTTTGAAACACACTCAGGCAAGCTTGGAATGCACACTGATCAAAGAAAAGCGGATACCATCCAATTCAACTATTTACAATTCATAAAGCGGATTCAGGGAACAAGACTGACAAGGGCTTCTACTTAAATAAGATCTACGCCCACCAGCTACTTTTGGCTGTACCCTCACCTGCAAGCTTGTGATTGTGAATTTTGCAATGAGTGCGATGACCTCTGCGTAGTTCTCCACCTTCACCAGTTCACCGAGCTGGTAGTTGGACTTGAGTCTGGCCAGCAGCCGACAGAACTCATGGTAGCTGTTTGCCTCTGAGAGACTCTGTTAGTGGAACGACAAGTGTGACATGGTGTCGAGGTTAACAGTTGGAGATGTGTTATTTTTTCGCGTGCGGATCAAAAGTTGTCCAAAAGGCTCCCTGTAACATGACTAACATGACCAGATAGTTGTTCACCCTGAAGGCAAATGTAAGGACTCCAGCGTGAACCAAACGTGGCTTCCGCATGGAGATCCTGTTTTTCCTCATGAAAGCCTAACTTTCCATTTGTGCACGCACGCAACTCAAATTTCCTTGCTAGCCCTGTGATCATTCCCTGTTAGCACAGAACTTTCTGTAATGGTTAGCAATGATTCTTTGCTAACAGGGCCAAGAAACTGAACAATGATTTTTGTAGGGACCAATGCACGCTTACTCCAAAGGGTAATGTTTTGCTTGACAAGGACAACATACAGTGTTAGCTGGTTCCCAATCTCTCTGTGGCTTTACAGGCTTTGATAGGGTCAGTAACCAGACTGAAGTCAGAGCTTCTACCTCATCAGTAATTTGTTACTTCCTGCCCCCCTTCCGTCCAGCTCTGCCACTCCCCCAACCATTTACCTGTGGGTTTTCCAGGATTCCTCTGACACCATTGACAAGATGCGTCAAAAACTTGGCCCTCTCTGCATTGTTGAATAACGACCGACGCACTGAGGCAATTTGAACTAAACAAGTCAAGGCCTAGAAGAAAAACAGACAATTGCCACTGGAAAAACATGCTTTTTAAAAGAATTGTTATGCTGAGAGTGACCATACATTTTTTTCAGGTGGGAAAAGTACAAATCACCTCTTTTATCTCAGCATATTTATTTGATGCCGTACTTCTGGCTAAACATTCCTCACTTGAAAGCATGGAAATTGCATCTTCAAAGTTTCAAAATATTATTGCGGAGATTTCCCTCTAATTTGGACGTTACACTCACCAGTGGAGCTAGACTAGGAGGGAGAGACTTGTAGAGATCGAAAAAGAGGTTGACGGTGCTGAAATCAAGGAACGCTGTAAGAAAATGACAAAAGATAGAACAGAACGGGGAGAATCATCAAAAAAAGTTGAAGGTACCGAATCAAAAGTTATACGATGTCTGCACAATCGATACGGGACGCCACACACACCAGGCCACATAAACTAGACATAAGTATCATTTTTTGATTCAATCACGACAGTTACAGAATCATTTGCATTAAGCTACAAATTCAGCCGCCTAGAAACACCTGATCCGGGTCTCACCTGATCTCCAGCCAGTGGGTATCTGTACAGTGCAGTTGTCGTCAGTTGACTCGTCAGTCGAGGTTCCGATGAAGTCGAAGGTCAAGCAGTTGTGGGTCAGCCGCAACAGCTGTGTCATGAGGGAGTGTTTGTTCTCGTCATTGAAGTCAACACCTTCCTTCGAGGCCTGGGTCATATAGAAAAGAGACTGTTTTGGTTTTAAGTAAAGACAATGCTCAAAGCAGCATGAAAATCATAGCGAGATACATTTTTGTTTCAATAAAAAAGTACAGTCAAACTCTCCATCCCTGCCCTGCCCAGCCACGCTCTTCCCAGTCAAAACCACCCCCAGCCAAGTTCTGCCCCTCGTCTTGCGAAACTGCAAAATAACTGACACACGGCCATGCACAGAGCCGTTGAGCCCAGGCCCACCCTACCCAACCCCTACCCTGCCCAGCTACGCCCTGCCCAGTCAAAGCCATCCCAGCTGAGTTTTGAGCCTTCAATCCTACCAAACCACAATGAACAGATGCACAGACGGACGTCCTCCTATCATTTCCAACGCACCTGCTTCAGGAGGTTGCAGGCCAAGTTGAAGATTTCAAAGAGGACCGAGTCACGGAATGAGGACGCAATCTTCCTGTGCTTGGTTAGAGGTCTTACAGTGTCGGGCTGACAAGGTAAAAATGCAACCATGCATTAAGTCGAAAAGCACTAAAATAATCGCTGAATTTATAGAATCAATGAACAATACATATTGAAAATGAACAGAAGTGGCTATTTTGGAAACGGTTTCAGGCTAATTATGCTGGTTGGGACACATGGCCCGGTGGTTAGCGACCGAAGTTCCTGATCTCGGGGTCAGGGGTTTCATCCCGAGCAGGTGGTTACATGATGGGACATGTGGCCTAGTGGTTAGGGTTTGTAGCTTCTGATCATAGGGTCGGAGGTTCGAATCCAGCTGGTGGCACCATGTTGCGACCTTGGGCAAGTCATTTTGCCCCTCATGTGCCTCTCACCACCCAGGAGTAAAGTAAAATGGGGGCAGAGAGAGTTATTGTGTTTACCCATTCCAATCCACAATGGCAGCATTCAGGTTGATACGCCTGTTAAGATGTTCAGATGTTGTTAGCCTTTGAATGACAGATACTGTTAGACACTGTACACCTTACGAATACTGTGATAATGTAACAACTTATTAACAAAAAATTGTGACCCCAGTTTGAAGGTTGGTTAGAAGTTTGCGCACACAGAAAGGTAGATTTCAGCCTGTAATGTTTGGTTTTAAGCCACATAGACCTACCTGGTTCATTTCATTGACGAGCTGTGACATCAGTTGCACACCTATGACAAAATGGTCCACCGAACCCTGCACATACGAGGTAAAAGAGAAGTCAGATTTCAACCAGACCTCTGTTTCAAGCTCTTCCGTGTTACAGAGACCGGGGGTGAGATTGACCGATGATAAAAAAGAGCTGAAAACAGCTGAAAAAAAGGCATAGAGAAGCTGAACTGTGAAAATCTCCTATACTTTTGTACACAGCCAGTGACAAAAAAAATGAAATCTCCCCCCCCCCAAAAAAAAAGCTGAGAAATCTCACCCCTGAGAGACTGTTTAGGGGCAGTGGCTCAGTCTCACCCACAGTACATCAATCTGTTCACCAAATGGCTGAATCGTTTGGAGTGCTCTTTGCAAAGGGCAACACCAACTTGTCCCTCTGAAAACCTGATTTTTCGGTTGCTATGAACAACTCTGAGAAGTTTTTTCTCTTGAGTGTCTGTGTTGAACATTTACATTCAGTGCACCAGATGTGGAATACATTTTCATTAACTTGTGAATACATTTCTACTTCCAGAACCCCCAAAAATCTGCAGTTTCCATCTGATGAAATGATGTAAGGAACTCAAGTTCAGTTTCCCATTAAAGCCTGCGTTACCAGTCGGATTGCTTTTTTTCAGACATTTCCCACGCATGTTTCAACTTGGGTGAATAAAATCTGCCAGTTTCATTATCAGTAAGTGCACCACTGTACACCTTGTTACCTTGATAATTTTTTTTTGCGATACTGTACATGTCTTGGCAGAGAGTCCGCTACAAATATGATTCTCTCCAAAACTCTTTTACCCTGTGGCTTCAAGCATTTCAGCAGACCATCCAATGATTGAAGTTGGCTGACCATGATGCGCCTCAGTGGGAAATGTGCCAGGACCCACAACAGGGGCATGTTCAACAGTACAATATGACAGCTAGTACGGCATACCCTGTATATCGTTACCTTTACTGTTGGTGGTATGCGTACGGATGTTAAGTACTGTTCCAAGGAACAAGCCCCTGGACTTTTTAGTCACGTGCGACTAGTTCTTTCACATCATGGCTAGGCAGGCCCTTAAAATTAAACTCGGCATTCATGCGACTACATGCATGATCTGGTTATTTCTCCAAGGTTAAACAATGCTGTAAACGAAAATAACGAGAGAATGGTGGCGTATTTTTTCAAGGGCTGTGTAAAATAATTCATCTTCATTTAACGACAAAACAGAAAGAAAGGCATCAAATGGTACCTGCAAAAATTTGGAGACATCGTCGATGATGTCTCGGAACACCCAGTTGTCCTTCTCACTGTCGAACCATCCCAGCTTGGTGATGCGCGACTGCAGCTACAAGCGCAAAGCAGAAAGAACACGGGTTACCGGACGCGACGTTTACGCAGCCGTCTTCTTCATCGCGGTAGGCAAAAATCTTGGGGCTTGCAACAGAGATAGTCTGGTGCCGACTCATAAGGGCAGACTGAGGCCAAATCAATTTGAAAATCGGACCAATTTCTGGCACCAGAAAAACTATGGTGAGCAGATACTGCACGGTCTCAGTCCTGTTTGAACCCTGGCCAAAACCAGAAGATATTCATGTGTGGATAATCTATTTTCCGCCACGCAGCCATAAACGTTTAAGCCTAAATATGCACCTTTACATACTTTTACAACTTTGCTGTGTTATTCAATCACAATAACCTCAGGAAATTCTAATCATCATAAAAAAAATTGCAAGGATTATCCAGATGACGCTATAAACTTACATGGATGAGTGCTTGTGTGACGAATGTCGGCAGTTTGGGCCTGCTAGCAAGGTAGTTCAACACATAATTTTCTACAAAAGGAAATAACCATTTCTCACATCACAGCTACAATTCAAATATTCGCATCTTTTCTACTGCTGACTAGATTAATACTACCGTATCTAATTCCGACCAAAACAAAACAAGTTTGAATGTTTGAGGCTAGTTACATGTATTTACAAATAATGTATTTAACAGAGTTAGTATTTTTTGCCACAAAGCAATCCTCGGCACAATACATACGTACACATGTCAGGATATTCTTTAAGTGCACAGAAAAGGCACGGGATTAAGGTTCATGAAAACAATTATACACAGGAGCTGGGATAACTTCATTTCCGCTGAGGCGAATTCACAAAGGGCCACATTTAAACGCTGTTTCATTCAACCGGGATTCGTCACGCTCATGAAAGAACCTGTAACATGCATTGTACACAATATGCAATGCATGTACATGTACACGTATGAAAGTCACCAGTACCAAAGGTCTTGCAAGGCGTTAGTTTGCACATACCCTGTCTTAAACGGGACAGAAATTTACTCTGCAAACGATCAAACCATTATTGACGAAATTGTACTGGTATTGTTGCTGAACTGTGCTTGATTCTCTGGCACCTTGCCAAGGTATCACCGACAAGCCACTGATGAAATGTTGCTGGCAATAACAATGAGCATGGAATGTCCCCGCAAGCAATAAAACCCCAAACAAAATGTCACAAAGGAAACAAAGTACATGTACATGTAACATCACAGGTTTGCTTCAATGTCACTAACCATTTCTAACGCATCAGCCTAAAACCCTACAGTTCAGGTGTCATTTCTTTTTCAGGTCTTGACAATAACCTCAGGTTACTGCAAAATGGTTTAAGGCAACTTTGGGAAGGTTTTGAACAATAGTCTCCCCGGGTCAAAGTTAACACCAGCGCCAAGTGTTTATGTACATGTATGACACCACTTACGATGTGAAAACAAATGGATCTATCTACAACAGCAAAAACCAGCTTCAGAAATTATACACAGGAGCTGGGACAACTTCATTTCCGGTGAGGCAAATTCACAAAAGCCACATTTAAACGTTGTTTCATTCAAATGGGATCCGTCATGCTCATGAGAAGCAAGCTTCATTCATGACACTGTATTCACTGAAATTGGTAATGGGGGCATTAGGACTTGATTTAAAATTCATCACTGATGTTGCGACGTTGCAAGTCCTACATGTATCTAGAGAGGGACGGCAACATGCTTGTTTAGCTTGCAACTCTTAGCAGGTTCAGTTCTGTAACACTAAATGTTACTAAATGTTCCTGTTACACTAAATGTAACATGTAAATTTATGAGCCATGTCTGAATTACTTGGCTGTAGTGGCTGCAGCCAGTTCCCATACAGCCGTGTGTAATTTTAAGCCGCAGCCAAGTGATTCAGACACAGCCATACAAGCAAGCTTTAGGCTCTGCAATCCGCCTGTTGGCGGGGCTTGTTCGATTTGTTGGTAGTGATGCGACCGTAACAAGTGCATTTCATAGTCGTTCGTGAACCAGTGAAGTGCAGTTCCCACCAAAGAAGCCTCCGCTGCTCGGAAAATTGCATCCTCTTTTGGTTCAGCTTGGGACTCGCAGACAAGAAAGGGAGCTATTTTTCGGTGACTAATCAGTGAACGCCAAGGAGGCGGCACACAGCATGTGCATGCTTGTTCGCACGTGTCTGGCAAGAAGTATGCACGAACACTCGTCCTTTCACAAAGTGTCAGTGTGGGCGTTGAGTGCATAAACACAAACAACATGTGACGGTCACAGTGAGGGAGTACTCAGACCCTAAGCAAATACGGAGGCGCATTCCAAATGAAATACAAATGCTGAAATTGGAACTGCGTGTACCTTTATCATTGATGGACAGCACACATCTATGTATCGTGCATAACATTGCACTACTGAACGCAGCCCCCGCAAACTCCAACTTCTCACAGAGCCATTAAGCCACCATGCACCAAAAAATTTTTTCCACCTGCGCAGTCATAACTTAGTTCAAAAATAAGAATTCCACTCTCACAGAACAAATACAATATCATATCTGACAGGTAACAGCATGCAGCAGGGATGAACCGCATGTGTAAATGTACACACTGTGTTCCACTGCTCTGTTCACACACGTATTCCATAACAACTGTGCAAATACAAACATGCATAGGTAACAGTTAACACCATAACGTGCCTGCTAATGCTAGTCATTCCAAAAGTTCAAAGTGAGTTTCACTTTATTTCATTTTGTTTTCTAAGAAATGTTATTCATAGTGCTACAAAACTAGGTTTTTGAATGGGAAACATCTCAACCACAAACCAGGCTCTTTTCAGTGTTCAACAAATGTGTTTTAGGGGGGGTAGGATTTTTGTTTCTAATTACATTTGATCCATGGTGCAATCTGCAGACCAAAAAGACACCACATAGTCACAGTCGACGTTGATTTATGAGCAAATTGACAATGCGCAATTCTTCAATTGAAATATGACTGACAGGCTATCCAGTTCGTAAGTGTGACGTCACTTACATGTAAGTTTAAACCATGCCCACTGCACACAGAGTTACATGCATTGACTGCCGTTTACATGGAACCAGAAGTTAACGCGCAACTTCAAAAATCGTCCAATGGGAGACTGCAAATCGTGGCAAATCACTTCGGTACTCTACCGTATATGGTACGACACACACGGGCCACGTTACCTGCACGTCTTCCTCTGCTTTTTGAGCTTTTTTCGTTTGGTGTTTGTTTTGCATGCACCTTGCCATGTTTTGCTTTGACTTTGTTCAATCTTTAACAGGGGTTATTAATCCACAACAGTTGAATGAAACGACATTTAAAGAGCAGCGAGTGGCAAATTTTTCAGTGAGAGAGTGCGTCTAGCCATGGGAATCCTACATGTGTACACAAACAAGACTTAACTGTACGATACAATTCTCTTTACAACCTACATTATAATGATTATAATAATTTATTCATTTATAAAGCGCAAATTTCATACAGATGTCTTCAAATGCACTGTACAATGAAGACATTAAGCGTGGAATGATGAATACATTTAAACATGGTTGAGCCGATGGCATACAAGGGCGTCTCGGGCAGCCGCCAAACGACCCACATTCACCAACATCAGTAAAAGGGAGACAGTAAGAAGCAGTTACAGTTTTTAGAGGTGGGAGGAAAATCCCAGAGGAATATTCTGGGTAAAACCCACGAGTCAGGTGGGGACTGAAAACCCAATCCACATGTGGACCAGGCCGGGAATCGAACCCGGGACCACAGAGGTGGAAAGCGAGGAAAGAACTACCTTGCCAACCTGACTCCTGACCTGTACTGTGCATTGACATAGATAAAAATGAATCAGGCGTAATAGAGTGCATTTAATAGGTACAGAGCAAGTGTGGCCACTTCAAATGTTGAGTGGCAAGCCAAACGGTAAATATTCTTCCTGGAAAACGCAGTTTTACAAGGAAAAAAACACATCCCTCACGAGTCGACTATTGAACGAGACAAAGGGGCACAGTGAAGTTTATTCCCCAGAACTGAAAGGAAAGCCATCACTTACTGATGTCTATTCTCTGCTCCAGTGGAAGGACTGGCGAGGGCCGGCAAATGAGTTTTGTGAGTGTTGTGGCTGCGAGAAGTTGTGCATATGCTGACTGCAAAATGTAGACAAAAAAAAATGGTCAAAAGAAACAGTTGCCAAAAAACAAACCAAGTTTTGTTTTTACATTCCAATAAAAAGAGACTGTAAAGATGGATCAGAGCCCCAAAGTTGGGTTTAAATTTCAAATTAGGTTCAGTTCATTCTTAAATGCAGGCCATGTCCAAAACAGGCTTCCAGAGCTATGGCTAGGTCTATTGTCTACGCGTCTCCACGCATTTCCAATGAAGTGAAGACCTAGACCTAGTTCAAGAGAAGAGACTCGAATCCAGCCTCAATCTCAAGGTCTCAAGTCAAGTGAAAATCTCAAGTTTGGTTCACTCTTTGATTGGGTTCAATCTCAGATTGGATCCAGTTGTAGGTTAGGTTTCATCTCTCAACAGGTCAAGTTCAGTCTCAAGTGTGCTTCAATCTCAGGTTGGGTTGATTTTGTTTCAAAGGAAGGGGGTTCAATCTCATGATGTGCTGTGTACATCTCCACGCTCATTTTCAGCTCGTTACAAGGTGAGGGTCATATCTCCAGCTAGAACCCGTTTCAAAACGAGCTTATGCCACTTTAATTTCACGCTGCTGTGGGAAACATTCCTGGAGGTTTTTCCCCAAATCCCACCCAGTTGTGTAGAGATTTGTTTTCGGACCGAATATGAATCAGCCGTTCCAGGTTCTAACCCCCTTTTGTGGCATGATCCCTTTTTAAGACCTACATGTAGGGTTAGGATTATAGACACATCCAGCCACTTTTCATTGGACAGTCCAAGTGGCTCCTGATAATGGCAGAAAGCCAACCATCAAGGAACAGTTTCTGCGTACAACAGTCACTGCAATGCTTACTGCCATTGGCGGGGGCCACTGCAAATAATATACCCAGCAAGATATGGGACGGAGGGGTACCCCCCTTACCTGTCCAATCCCTATACAGACTCTAAACTATTGTTACCTAACACATCCCCCCTAGATGTCTGTAAAGAATTCTAGAGACCCCAATCAAAGAATGACCAACACAAAGGTGGGGGGGTGCTCTCCGTCTCATATCTTGCTTCGTATGACAAATAACCAGTGATAACATTAACCCTAACAGAACCGGGCGTTGTTTGGCTTAGAGTACTCAGAACCACAAAATACTAAGTAACACTCTGAGCCTGAAGGACCTAGCTCTACAAATTACTATTTCTGGCTAGGTTTATTCCATTGTTATTTATACAGAGAACAATGAAACCATGCATTCATAGTGCCACAGCACTGTATGGTACATTGTCTTTTCTATTGTGTTTTATGGCTTCAGAGAATAATCATGTCATGTCCTCTTACAAGTGACAGGGCTGAGTACTACATTTTACTACTAAGTAGTATTTTGTAGCATTCGGGACTGTTAGGGTTAACTTGGATACCACATTTGTCTATAAATGCAAGCTCACACCGATGACGCCAAATGGCAAAGAAAACACTGTTTTTTTAACTTTCTTACAAAAGATACATATTTTACCAGGAGGGTGGATAAATTTTCTGAAATCCTTTGCTGGTACTGTTGCATCTAAAGTAAAGGATCTTCAACCCCATCTAACTGGTTTTAAACTTGCATCATACATGTTGTTAGTAACAAGTACTTGACAATTTGTTGCCAAATTAAACGAAAAAGGAAATCTGCTTCCCAAAAGAAGGAAAAAGGAAACAGACAAGGAAGAGAAACTACTTTCGTTTTTGTTTTTGAATTTTTTTTTCTCACGAGGCCCCATACGACTTACACTGCTTCTCTCCAGCAGCAGTTGGCACTTGGTCAGACAGTCAGGAGAGTTGGTGAAGTTGACCAACGCCTTCTCCGCCTGCGCTCGCTGCTCGCCGTCTGTGGTCTCGTACAGCTGCTTGCACAGCACCTCCAGCTGCGAAATCTGTTAAAGGAAACGGGACGATTTAAATTGGTCAACTGTCTTGGTTCTTCTGCGGGGGTGTTATTTATTAAATAGATGCCTGTCGCTTCCGCTGTCCGTGAATTTCAACAACCGAAAAAGAAATTCCGTCGGTGAAGGCACTTCGTGCAAGCTAGTGTAAAGTATCCAGTTCAGGAGCCCTGTGCTGGTGTGACGGTCTCAGCTGTCTCCTGGTCTCAGCGGTCCCCCCTGAATAGCCGGACATTAAAACGGACGACTTTCCCTTTGTCGTGCACAGAGATGGCATGACGTACAAAATGTATTTTACCATATTTGGTAAGGGGGACTGCTGAGACCAGGAGACAGCTGAAACCACCACACCGGGAACCAACAAGAACTTCGCACTTCAAAGGCTGTATTTACAAATAAATCTCCTCCAATTTTAATTGGTCGAATTGCATCTCGATGACGGTAATGAACTTCTGCGCAATTTCACTAATCCCACTGCATCTCTCATTTGAGGTTGAACGGAAGCCATGCAGTAACTGGTCAAGCTGTCTTGGTGCTGACGATGGCCACTGAACTTATTTGACTGAGACTAAGCACATGCTGCGATCTTGCATGGTGTCGGTAAGCAAAAGTGTTGTAAATTTCATTATTCTAATCAGGTAAACAAACCATCCATTCTACATCAAATCATATTCCCAAAGCACTTATGAAATCTTAAGGCAGAAATATTTGTGACGGCAGAGAAATTCTGTATGATCGAAACAGCAAAACTTCAATTATGCACTCCTTAACATCACTATCAGTAAGGGAAAGAGTTCCATATATGGAAAACACTAATTTTCCCTTAAAAATTTTATAAAACCATCACAAAGTGATAACATTTCACAACAAGTGAGAGGTAGCTGACAAAACTCCAAAGAATTGAGGCCTACACGTACTTAGAAAACACTAGGGTCTTTTCAGACAAGTCTCATAGGTCAGCGCACAGGGCTGCAAGTGTGGTTCGTATATAGAACTCTATTTGTAACACCTTACAGTTCTGAAAGTAGACATAATGGGCAAAGTCATGAAAGTGGTTGTTGGGGGTGAAGCAGTTGTTGTGGGGACAGACAAGGCCGCTCAATAGGAAGTGTTCACTGTGCGACAGTGCGCTCACGTGCACTGGTACCCAACGGCTGTTGATTGTCTTTCTTCAATTTGGGCATAAATAATGAGGAGCCATGTGATTGGTCAGTGTGACCCCAAGCGCGCCGCAGCCAATTGCCATTTCAAGCAGCACGGCTAAGAATTACACACACACACATGTACGGAAAGTGGCTGTACCCAATTTCCATGTCTTGTGTATCGATCACAGCCGTAGTCAGTGATTTGGTCGCGGCTCGTGTTCGCAAGTACACATGTGAACCGCATGACTCTCAGACACTGATTAGGAAATATTTGCACTGTTTCTTGGAAAACTGCATAGTTTTGGCCCTTTTTTTCTTGATACTCAAAACAAAGGTATGTAAGTTATCTTACATAAAACTCTTAGGGGAAATGAAGCAACATTTCTATGGGAACTCGAATGGAATCGCTGTTCGTGCATGCCATGTTAAACATCATGCATAGCCTATGGCAAAAAAGGTTCTTTTTCCGGGGGATTCATGGGAGAGGAGCGGACGTCGGACCCCACGATTCTGGGGGTTGAGAGCTACTACAGCCCTACGTGTGGAGCTAGGGACAGACATGATGGGTGTGGGCAAAAAGGTTGAAGTGTTTGTGTAAAGCATTCAAATATTATCAAACGGGATATCAAGAGCTTTGAAAGTGTTAATCAAGAATAAGTTGCAGGCCTGGGATTGCACAGAACTGCGGGGATCAAGTTGGCTGTCAAACATGATATCGTCAACCATGTTAGCTCGGTCGTGGGCGCGATGACCATGATGACACACGATGATTGATAGGCCTAACAGACCTACGTCGATCAGAAAGTTTCACGTTTTTAACTGCAAACAGCAACCAAACAGTTTGTTTTAATTGCCAAACCTGCACAATCTTGAAAGCAATAATGAAGCAGTTTCTCTGTCAAGCAATCAGGACGATGCTAGACTTTTCAACCCCATTTTGCCGCCAAAAAACTCCCAGCACCTTACCTGTTCCATGTCCGCCATTTTTCTGATGTTTTGATATGACATGATAGACACACGAGCAAAATTTTCACGGTAAACCAAGAGCGCCCTCTCTGGTTGTTCACCAGCGCTTTGTTCAAAAGAAACTTGAAGAAAGCCACTTGAACCTGAATCATGTGCATAGAACGACCACAGCCAGTTAGTTTGAGCAGCTTGCAGCTTAATCGCTGAAGTGCTACAAGAATCATAATGTATGACCCAACTTTTTATATCTGACGATTTTTTTCTAATTTTCATTACGCCCAAAATTTAAATTCCGAGAAAAGTACTCATCTGATCCAGACGAAAAATTTGGCTCCATGGACTTCAAGATTTCCTCACCTCACTAAATAGCACACCCCGCTAACGTGTCACAAAAATAACCCAGTGAAAGCGAAAAACAAGGAAATTTGAAAGTTGTGTTCTTGCAAAGGGTATACATACTGAGGAGTAATATGGTCTGCTCTTTTTACGTCACAGCTTCCTACAAGAGGCTGCTAAAACTATCGCTGACCATCAACACAAAAGTAGAAAAATAATTCACGAAGTGTTCAAATACCCTACGCGGCTGTAATACACGGTACTACATACGACCAACTCAAAATACAACCCTATTTAAAATTGATGGGACGTTATTGGGTTGTTTTCTTTTATTATTTTTAAACAAATATGAGGTAAAATTGGAAACCGTAAAGTGGTTTTCTGCAAACTCTGGCCGCCCATACAAGTTGTAGGCAAATGGGAGAAGATGATCCGTCAAGACCTAGACTTTTTGGTGTTATGTCCCAGAGGGTGGGTAGGTTAATCAGGCTAGGCTTGTAAAACTTGGTTTGAGCAATCTTGCTGACTTGCATTTGAAAAGTTAACATTAATTGTTAATTTTATTAAACTCCTTTATAATGTTTATCGATGTGTAATAATAGTTATTTTCTTTTATTCTTTTATGAGCTTTTATACTTTTTTGTTACATGTTTCTGCTTCTGCTCCTTATACTGCACGCTATTCAACAAACACCACACTGGGACTAGTTGCAGGCGCGTAGTGGCTAGCGCCCCCCGGCCCTCAAAAATGATGATAACTGCATGTCGTTGGGTTTGACTTGAATGCGTCGACGGATGTACTTCAGGGTCGGATCCAGGGTTTTCCCCAAAGGAGGGGTGTGTGAACTAAATTAGCAATGGTATAGAGTACTGAAGTGTAACGTTACTGTAAATTTCAGGCAGTAAGGCCCCTGTATTTTTCTTCTCCCTACCTTTTCTTCTTTTTTGGGGTGTGGGCCCAACGCCCCGCCCCCTGGATCCGCCCCTGTACCTTTATTGTTTCCCCTGATGTTTTTTGGCTTGCATAGGCTATCCCGGCACCAGGTCCTTTTCATTTTGTTCTTTTTTCTTTCGTAGTTTTATGTTCATTTTCCTTTCTGGAGGTGTTCGCAAAATAAATAAAACCAAACCAAACAAGAAACCAAGCCTCCATCAGTCCCAATCCAGGGGGGCGCGATAATGTCCTAGCGCTTCGTAGAAATAATAACTCGAGCGTCTAGACTGCCACGTATGATGTTGGGTCCGGAAATAAGTGGAAATAAACATTACAAAAGGAATCTTTGAAGCACATAAGATTAAGAGTCTATGTATCACGTCGTGCAGCCGCGGCCGCAGTGTCGGTTCGCCTCACGCCTGCCTAGCTTTTTAAAGCAAAATTCCCCATTTTGCACGTTTGAATTGGCTTAACACTAGGTGTGACATTGCAACAATGACGCCTCCAACAAGAAATGGACTTTTTAGGGGAAGACAGTCGTTTTTTAACGCCGTGTTAGTCGTGTTTTTGTTGCTGTCTCCGCTCGCGTCGTGTGACATCCACCGTGCCAAAACGCATACGGGGAAAGTCTCCCCCTACCCGACTAGTCAGCTGCGTGCCAACCGTGAAAAGAGCAACGTCAACGGTGAAGCTGTGGTGGTTTCAGATGACGAGGGCGAGTTATTCTCGGAGTTCAAGACGGAATCGGAAGCCAAGGGTCTGGAGGCGTGGGTGTGTGCTCTGCTGGCGACCGTACTGGTTGGAATGACTGGAATATTCCCGCTTTTGCTGCCCATTGACATCGGACCTGATGTGCAGAATGGAGGTAAACATGCTTCAGGAGCTACAGTAGGCGAGGCCTACCTAAAGGCACAAAGTCATTGAAGAGATTAAGTTTTTGAGGACCTTTTATTGAGTGTGTTTTTGGTAAGAGTTCCATATACAGATACTGCTAATTTTCCCTTGCCATAGTTTATTGGCCATCAGAAAGTGACAACATGTCCTAAGAAGTCAATTTTAACAGTGAAAACATTGAAGCATTTACTTAGAAATCACAATTTTCCAGACCAGTCTCATAGGGTTCTCTTGCACAGGGTGTACTGTCAGTGAAGTCCATATGGAACTCTGTTTTTAAACCCCAACAGTCCCAAATCTTCGTAGTTGAATATGATTTTACATACACCCTAGGGGTTGGGGTTAACGTGGGATGTGTTGGACCTTTTTCCTCAAATGGTAATTTTGCTCGTTTATCAATGGCCTAATCACAATGATTTAAGGAGATGTGCATGTACATTCAATTCAACCATGTAGGCCCTATGAATAGCCCTACAGTGCTTAGACATGTGCTTGTACATGAATGTTCAAATAGTTCCAGCGTAACAGTTGCCAATCCTACATGTATGAGGATCTTATGAATATTGGGAAATACTGGTTAATCATCCCAATAGGGCGATCGCACTGCGCCATCAGTCAGTCCTGTTTCAAATCCCCAACGTTACTTCACTCTTATGAAACAATTTTTCCAGTTATAAGATCCGCCAGTTATAAGATTAACACTGCGCAGAGATCACGTGGTCGTACAGATCGTCCAATTGCGCCAAACCTGAAAGAGTAGCAAAGTGTATGTAGAACATACCGGTAATTGTCACCATGATTTCGCACCTCAAGCCAATTTATTTCCTTTCTAAATTCCGGGGCTGGTCAGAGGTCTGACCATGCTTCTTGGAAGTTGGAGTCGTGGAGGCAAAGTTAGCCAAAGGCCCCCCACTCAGTACCCTACCCTTCTAGTCATGCTCCATTATCTTACCTCCATGACTGCAAACTTCCAGCATCCTACTGTGGTTTTGATATTCATGATAAGTGCTCCTAGAGGATTTTTTGTTTTCAAGTAAAAATTCTCTCGATGTTCTGTTTGCCCTGATCTAAGTATGGTGCCTTCTCTTTCATAATGTGACTGCTCATCTGTGAAATCTTCTTCAAGCTTTATTGCCTTCTCACAGTTCACTCCTATTGAAGTTAGGTGTGCTCCTGAGAAAAACAATTGTTCCCATGCAAATATCAACTCCAACCTCACACAGTCACACTGGAACCTTGAATGAAGAAAAGCAAACATGAAAATAAATGAAATCAGGCCAACTGTACTCAACAGTTTAGATTACCAAATTCTCCAAAATTGTCATGATGTAAAGAAAGATAAGGTTCACATTTATTTACCAGCCAAGTTTGAGTCGCAGCGTATCAATTCAGGTCTCGATTGAAGAGAGAATCTTGCCCCGAGGATCAAGCCTGGTGCATATGAACAAGAGTGCCAAATTTGATCTTGTCTAACTTCTACACACTTCCAATTTCGGCGGCCCTCTGTTCCCGACATTTTGACTTGAGCAGGTGTCCAGATGTCTTCCAACGCCAACTCCAGTGCCCCCACTCTGAAGATCAGCGTCATCGTGTTCATGATGCTCAAGTTATACAGCAGATGAAATTTTTCTTAGCAGTTTCACAAAGTGTACCTTCAGGTGTTACATGTACCATCATTTGTTCAAGAAATCAGATTTAGTCAATACTTAAAGCACAGTGTACATGTACACCTGTACTTGTCTGTGTACATCGGGTAATTAAATGTGTGGAGAGGTATTTATAATGCATTGAATAATAGCTTTTGTGAACCTGTAAATTATGTGCAGACATACATGTACAGTATGGTAAATTTAACCTACACACATACCGATTACCGGTACAAATACGCTGTGCAGCAGCCATGTGTTTAGGTTGCATTGTCAGCATTTTGTATTTTCTTGGTACACTTATACGTGTACATTGTCTATACATGTATACATGCATGTACATGTACAGTACATGTACCCACTTGTGTGTAGCACAAACTGACCCGGAAATACAGGCAGAGAACTGTTGCCAGATGTGGCTGTCATGCCATTCTTGTCATAACTGTGTGCAGGATATGGACTTGGCCTGGCCATAATGTGGCATGTATAGGGCTTGTAACTGGTTATTTACCTTCATTTCAGAAACTGATTACATACATACACATTTTTTTTTTTAACCAAAGAAAAAAGGGGAAGTGTTGTGAAAAGAAATCCTTACAAAGGGTCGACCTTTCAAATGTTTGCTGGGTGGGTGAGTTGTTCCTATGTGTTTGTCAACCACTTAGTTTCAACCCCTAGTTTCAAGTGCTTTATGACTGCATAAGGTTAGTTGCAAGGCCGTTACTTGGAAGATCACACCACTTGTGCCCAATTTCTGACTGAGTTGGCCCTGCCAGAATGTCTAATGCAGGTGCTGGCTAGGCCACCGTCAACCTTTTGACATGACCTTGGCTGGTGTACCCAAGTGGGCTCTGTAATGTGACACATCAAACGGTCACGTAGACCATATTATAGGCAGCACTGCCAAGCGAGCATGCACCTGCATGTGCACGTACATGTTCACATGACACTGTGCACGAGATGCATTTTAAATCGCCATCATTTTAATCTGCATGCAGAGAGTCGATGTGACAATCAAAGTTGATACGAAAGATACACATGCACATATACACATGCATGTGGCATGATTAGTGTAGACTCGTTTTCAAGTTCATTTTACAAGTGCTGACCCCGTTGCATCGTACAGGTCAACAGGTGGAACCCTTGTGTTTTATGGTCAGGTTTCAGCCGGAATGCTTGTATGTAAAATCCATAATTTTGGAATTGCCAGCATATTCTCCTTCCCCAGCAGTCTGGTTTGGAACACAGCGCTGACAGAGGCTTTGGAAGGCCCCCAGATGTGCATGTACATGTACAATGTATACCGGTATGCATACATGTAGGTAATGCGCTGTAACTGTACACATGTACATGTACTTGTACATGTACATGCACTGTATAGTGCATTATGCATGCGCGCACCAGTGCAGACGTATATTTACAGTTATGACCTCACCAGATGAACTTGTTCCAGGCGACATGTGGATATCATCCAGGAAATTCACTCAGCCAGCTGTAAATCCAGAGTCTGCTTTACTGAACTGCTTTAATTTGTCGTTTCAACTTGGTCTGGCACTTAAATATTTAAAATGTGTGATAAAAATGCACCACTCAAAAATTATATGTAGGCCAGTTTTGGAGACCTTTTTTTGAGGTCTCGGTCTTGGTCTCGGCCTACAAGAGTCTCGGTCTCGAAGTTCTGGTCTCGGTCTTGAAAGAGCTGGTCTCGGTCTTGGTCTCGGTCTCGAATGCCTTGGTCTCGGTCTCGGACATAAAGGTCTCGACTACAACACTGATGTAGGCCTACTTTCGTATTGAAAATGTGGAACTAAAGACGCAAGTTGCAAAGATCAGGGTTGAAGTACATGTACATGTACATGTATGTCTTGCAATGCCCCACTAACAAGTCAGAATAAAATAAAATCCAACAAGTTCAACCTGTTCGATTAAAGTTCTGGCTCCAAAGCCCCCACACACAGTCCACGGCTCTGATGTTAAGCCCCCCTAGGCCCTCTGTTGTCCCCGCGTTTCAGAAGTTGCAAACTGTAGCAGCCTCAGTGCCCATTGTTCTCAACCTTCAAAGCATTATTTTTCACTGACAAACAATGCATGATACATGCCCATTGGCTTTGTTGAGACCTGTAATGTTTAGCCCAAACAGATCAGAGGTGTTATCTCCTGATAGGGTCAGTCCAAAGGCTGAGATTTCAGTAACTTACCGTTGAACTGGGACTTTGTGGACTCTCAGTGAGTTTGACTGAGGATGGTTTTAGTGTCTGGAAGTGTTGGAGACATAAAGCTCTGTAGTTTAGTTGAATCATGAATAGCTCCATGGTTGAATAAAGTCACCACAGCATTCTACAGAAGACTAGTTCAACTTCATTAACCCTAACCCTAAATAATGCTACAAAGTACTACTTGTAGTAAAATGTAGTACTGAGCGCTGTCGCTTGTAAGAGGACATGACTTTATTGTTCTGTGAAGCCATAAGATACAGTAGATAAGACATTGTACCATACATGTACACTGCTGTGGCACTAGGAATGCACGGCTTTATTGTTCTCTGTACAAGTAACAATGGAAGTAACCTACATGTAGCCAGAAGTAGTAATTTGTAGTGCTAGGTCCTTCAGGCTCAGGCTAATAGTACTAAGTACTATAAGCCAAACAATATGCTTGGCAGTTAGGTCTAATGAAGTACATCCCTGAAATACATGTAATACCTTAAACAAGTGCTACAGAACTAGGTAAAAATCATCTAATATACATGTACATTGTACTTTTAGTAATGTTGTGCATGCACTGGACATGTACCGGTGCGTACCATTAGAAAACTTGCAACACTTGATTTGGGCAATTGCAGTACCCTCTCATTTTGAAGACTCTAATTATCCGGTACATATGAAGCAAGATATGAGACGGAGAGAATCCCCTCCCCCACCCCCCACTTTGTGTTGGTCATTGTCTCACTGGAATCTGAGGAATTCTTTTCAGACATCCACATGTAGGGGGATGTGTTAGGTAACAATAGTCTAGAGTGTATATATAGCAATTGGACATGTTGGGAGGGGGTACCCCTCAGTCTCATTTCTTTCTGGATGTAATCGGGTGCACTGAAAGGTTTTTGCCAAAGAGGTGTCTGGATGTCCTTGGAACAACCTGTAAAGCAGTTTCAAACCCATATGCAGCAAGGTATGAGACGGAGAGAACCT